TCTGTTTTAGGTCCTTTCGCTTGCCTAAAAAAACATTTGTCTTTTTAAGATTGCATTATACATGGCCCGATGTCTGTATGTATGAGTGTGTGTCACAATCATGGCATCATCAAACTGCAAATGAGCAACCCATTAAATTAACTTTCACAAACAAGTCTGATTTCATTTTATTTAAAACAACCTTGTGTGTGTGTGTGCGCACGCGTGTGTAAAATTCAAAGATATAAGTTACAAAGCACCAAGCTATGCATGTACTTTTGATGTATAGGTATATGTGCGTGTTGTGGGGGAAGCGATCACCACTGCATGCCATGAGCCTCGCTTTACTTGTCTGGTTGTTGTTTTAAGCACTTTAAAAAAAAGGTTAAAAAAAGTAAAACGAAATCTTTTTGAGCACTGTGTATGAAGGACTGATGACGTATCTCTCGCATGGATTTTATTATGTACTGTTTTTTTAAAAAAGGGAAACAAAAACATTAGAAGACCACTCTATTTAAAAACAAAAAACAAAAAAACACCATACCAAAACTGGTTACTGAAAACAAGAAGTCTGAAAAATACTGTAACTTTTGTAAATCTTTTCTGCTATCTGTAGGTAGAGTCCTATGTATAAAGTCTATGCCATGTTTTCTTCTGTGACAACCGTGACCATTGTCTGTCAGAAATTCCAAATGAAGGAAGGTTGCTTTTTCCCTTTTATTTTCCCTTTCCCTATTTCTGGTATTTCCTAACAGAGTGTCTGAATTTAATAAAATACTCTTTCCTCCCCATAACATTTTTCTTAAGGGTTTGTTTCTTAAGGGTCATTCCTTTAAAAAAAAAAAAAAACAGATGTGATTGACTGTTTTGCTCAGAGGCAGGCATTTCTGGACTCCGTGCAGCCAAAGAAGTTGAGCAGATGGGACAGGAACGAGAGTAGCTGGGTCCTCTGTCTGAAGAAGCCCTCTGTCTCCAGGGCTCTTTCCAGGCTGGTTTAAAGGTAAAGAAGGGAGAGTTGGCCCCAGG